GTGACGACGAGTGATGGGGACGAGCAGGGCTCAGAGTCCATCTTGGTGAGGTGCATTGAGTGGACTGCGTTGTCTTTTTTTACTGTAGGATAGTTAAGCTTTTGTAGGACGCCATATTTGCGACCACCAACTCCAGGCGTAATATCAAGCCTTTCAAAGCACTTGTAGGCAACGCCTCGTTCTGATGAGCCATACGACGGTTAGGCCGCATTGGGTGGACAAGCCGTGCCGACTGACGAATGCAGAAAAGAAGACCATGTACTGCATAGTGGTGTGCGTTCATCGCGCATTGTTGCCTGTGGACCTCCCTGCTATTAGCGGAAGCCTGTTTAAAGAACTCGAATGCAGAGTTCCGCTGGGATCTCTACATTTTAATGGCAAAGCAGCTAATTCCTAGAAGAAATCTACTAATGTCAACCTCCCATCCTGCAAAAATGAAGTAAAGGAACTGAAGGCTCTTCTGTATAGCCGTCATAATCAGTTTTGGCATAAGTAAACCAAGTCCATAAGTTGCACAATTTATATCTTCTGGAACGGTTTCGTTATACGCCTGCGAATTTTTGCCATAAATTTAATGGAAGGGGATAGACAAAATATCAGCCTCCTCTGTCTCTTCGTTAACCATCTCAAGAATGCTAACCTTTCGTCCAAATTTTACAGACGGTCCGAAATTAAAACCTACTTAATCTTATCTCATGCTCCCTTAAATGTGCCCTCAAGAGAGTGATTTGCATTTCCCAGTTCTTTCCGGAAAGTGCCTCATTGAACATTTTCATCAGTCCCTTCCATTCTCTCTTCGTACACTTGTAGCATTTCTTTACTGCAGCAATAATACATTGATCAGCAGGCCGCTGCCATTCCTACAGTAATTCCTTGCTATAGCGTGCTTCGAATTTCGCGGCTTCCCTCTCTCTTGATTTTATAGGTAAGCATATCTAAGTATAGATGAGATAGTACCGACAAAGACAAGGGAGACCGGAATGGCCATTTCTGGCTTATTAGCCGTCATCAGCCAGTCATACCCAACCCCAAGTGTGGATCACTTGAGATTCGAACCCGGGATCTTTGGTCATGGAGTTGAACGCTCTACCATTGATCGGCGAGCGCCCACTGTCATAATATCTAAGTATACATCGCGGATTTTTCGCTGGTTCGCGGATTTCTGTGGACAACGGGCCGTTGGTTTTTGCTTAGTATGTAAGCAGTGTTTTTGCAAACATAATTTCGACGAGTACTACCTACTATCCAAGCGAATATGAAGGGTTTCTGTTGCATAAATGTGTAAGAAATATTTATAAGAATGTGGGCGGGTTTATACGGGCTTAAAATGTATAAAAACAACCATAATATCGTATGGTTCTACTTCGCGGATTTTCACTTTTTCGGGACTTCTGGAACACAATCGAGTAGGAATCGCTGCATATCCAGAGAAGAACGGAACGCACGCATTCCACTTTATCAAAAAGTGAACTTGGCTCTCACTTTCCGCCAATATTCCCGACCGCTGCCACAGAGCGTGAGCAGTTGCTTAAATGACAGAGCATCTGCCTCAATGAAAAATGAACTTGCGTTGGAATCCGAGGTTTCCCAGGCCTGCAGTTCAGTTATATCTGTTCATCAATTGCAAGCAAGATGGCAATGGTTATTCCAACCTCCCTTTTCTATGTCAGTACTGCGAATCGAACAATGAATCTAAGGTTTACATTGTAGGTAAGTTTATAATTATTCAGTTATTGCCTCATATTTAAGTTAGCTTGACATTTTTTTAGTGGTCGTATAGATGGCGTTGCTGCGTTTGTGGCCACTTGCACTGATCTTCCTTCTGGCGGCCGTAGAACGGATTTAATCTGGGGTGAACTGGACGGTCAACGAGACTGGCTCAACTCGTCGATCCTTTAGTATTAGCATATGGATTCAACTGTCTTTGCTGTTCGCCGAACCCACTTTCTACCAGCCTATCACGTTGGTGCGTTAGGAGTTGTCCGTCTGGTTTGACTTACCTCGCGCTGTTCAACTTGAGCCGAGTTTTATTGATGGCAGAGGTTGGCGTCTAAGATGGTCAACAGGCCACCCGACAGGTATTGAAGCCTTTCACTAGTTAGTCGATCAGAAACAAGATCCAAACGTGCTTCTGGTCAACCCCATTCGGACATTCGACTTTGGCTACCAGCTGTCTATCAGCTCTACCTCAAGCAGAATATCGGCGAAACACACGTTTATGGGCTTTTGCTAGTACCTGTGCTGTTAGTATGGAATCACCTTACCCTAAAGTCTACCCCAAGCAGCCTGTATCTGGATTACCGTCAATTATGGGTGAGACCGGAAGGGCCATTTATGACCTGTCTGCGTCATAAGCCAGTCACACACCAATCGTGAAATGTGAAAATCTGAGATCTGAACCCGACTACAGTTACTCTTGAAATATTCGAGTCAAGCGTTCGGTTAGATCGCAGTTGGTAGCCAGGAATGGGAAGCGGACGGCGACCTTAACCCTAATCCCAACCTTAAACCAAACCCTAACCTCAACCTTAAACGTTAACCCTTAACCCTAACGGCAACCCTACCCCTAACTCTAACCGAAATCGTAAACGTAACCGTAACCCTTAGACACAGCCGTAACTGAGAGGCCTAACCGTAATACTGACACTTATTCGTACGCTCAAATACTAGCCGTAACCCGAAAACCTAGGCCTAAAGACATAAGCCTAACCTGAAAATCGGAAACCATTAACCGGTACCCTAATCCTAACCTCAAACGTAAAACGGAAGCCAAATGAGTCAGATGTGATTATGGAGCCCCACAAAATAGGCCCAGTAAACAAACCCCCCAGGCAGCTGTAGTACGGGGCCTGGCTACCAACTGCGATCTAGCCAAGCGTTCAATCACTTACGCCAGGAGCTCAGGTACTGTCGACTGTGATCCATAAAATCCAGTCACGCAGATTTGACGTCTCGCCGCTCCGGTTGTAGGAAGGACCACGCTCGTTCCGTGTAACCTTTAGATTCAAATCTATAATTCTCAGAGCCGGCCGCATAGCGACAAACGCACGACAGAAAGAGCATGTCCTTTCTTGCAATAGGGTCAACGAAGCCCCATTTTAATGCGACTTTTGATCCAGCCTGTGCAGTTAACCTTGCCGCACTGGTCTGTAGGCACAGTACTTGTAGGGCGTAGCAGCCATCGCGGGCATTTACAGTACCAGGATCTTGCAGCCCCTAACCGCAAAAACGGGGAGCCGACACGTAGCAGCCGGAACACTGCCAGTGGTCGACAGGCCTCACGTCTTTGTTTGGGCCATAGTGGCAGACAGCGCCCCCGCTGCATCGTAGGTCGACCGGTCAGGCTTCGCCCAGGCACCCGAGCTGCGTTTACCGGATCTCCGCCTCCCTCGCGTGCCCCAGTCACAGGACAAGTTGCCACGACATCTACCCCCTCGACGGAGCGACAGCGGCCGGCGCCCACGCTACTACTGTCTTCTCAGTCCGTACTTGCTCACCTGGTTCTGCACCCTTTGGATTTGGAGATTAAGACGCATGCGAGAAGCATGGGGCAGGGGGGAATAAGTAACATCTACAGGAGGGCTCAGACGAGCAGATCCCATTTGTTGGTGCGTGGAGGGTGAGTCAGAATTCCCCTCTGTGCCTACGAGACAGAGGCAGCCAGGTGCAGACAAAGAAACCTGTGGCCATTTGCGTGCACCATAACGGGACTCGCATTCTATGCATTTGCCCAGGACAGCTAGTTGGTCCTCTTATGCTGACAAGTGAGCACTGGAGGAGAGAAAAGGATTGCCTTTAGAGCATGAGACTTCGGTGGGAGTCGGGGATGAGAGTGTAAGTCGTTGTTTTAAAGCAATGACCTGTTCACTGAAGCCACCGAACATGAAGTACTCTTTGTCATGAATGAATTAAAAATCAAGAACGAATGCGTCAAAATCAGTTGGAGAACGTAACTTCTCACGCGCCATAGGTGCCTCCTAGGTAGTGCATCAGTAGGTATGGGCATAAATGCAAAAATAAAGGCAGGCAAGGAGGTACGTCAGCCGGACAAGGCTGGCCTGTGGACTGAACTTAGGCCAGCATATTTGCGGCTATATATACTGACAGTACTTCATGGGCCAATGCTCTGAGGGCTGCAATTGTGGACCTGCCGTTCTGACCTGGTTGTAGAACAGTAGGGCTATGTTCCATCCTGCAGTAAACACGGACTGGTAAACCCAACCCCACAGGTTGCCTCGTTTTTTTAAACCGACGTTTTTCAAATTTCCTTCTCGTGGATTAGTGGTAAGTGCAGCATTCTTCGGTGCCGAAAGTACCGGGTTCGACTCCCGGGTGTGGTATATCTTTATGCACACGACTCAATCGCCAAACAAATTTCAGCTTGTTTTGAAAAGGCAGCTTCGATGTTATGTTAGCCGGCTGTCGAAATATTACCTTGAGTACCTTTCCTGGCTGCAGCCTGCTATGGAATTTGTTCGAAATAGGCATGATAAGCATTCCTTATCTTATGTTTTCCTTGCAGCAGCCTACGGTGTTAACCGCAACGTAAATTACTTTGAGTTTCCTTTGCCAGTTTCTGTCTTGCCGCTTCTATGCAGAATCTCCTTTTGAACTTATGCTGATTCTGATGCAATTCCGTTACCATTGTTTCTAGTTTTACCACATGGAGAGTTTGAAAAGGAGGCCGAATACTGCTTGATTTTTAGCGGTTCCTCACTGTCTAGTCAGTTTGAATCAGTCGGGTGCATAAGTTGCATATCACGGGCTAAAACTTTGATAGAGTGTATTTGCTTTACATCTTTGGTAAAGCTTATCGGTAAAACGAACGCACTGTTGACAAACTACTTGTTGAAGCCACCCACCGCAGTTAGGCAGAGCTCATGATATCCACAGTGGTATTTGACACACTCCGTCAGCTTACAGTACCAATCATGACCGTGATTTTCCGCTCACTTAGACCGACTCACCAAAGGACATTTGTAGACAACCGGAGAAAGTACTCATGATAATGTGTCTGGCGAGGATGTCGGTTTGCCAGCGGAAGTAGAACTCGCTTGTCCACCATAATAACGATCATCATCATCATCATCATCATCATCATCATCATCATCATCATCATCATCATCATCATCATCATCATCATCATCATCATCACCACCACCACCACCACCACCACCACCATCATCAGCATCATCATCAGCAGCAGCAGCTTGTGGGACTTGAACATTAATTTTTTTCTTCCGTAATACAGATGGGGTCGATGCAAACAAAGTTATCTCTAAAAAAAATCGCACATTTCCTCTATTTTAAAATGTCATACTGACAAATCGGTGGGATTTCGTGCCCTAAAACGCAGTAATAACGCCGACGGTCAAGTCTTTTTAAACGTTCCGACACTTTCCTGACTCTCATGAGTGTCCCATAACTTACCTCGAAAAGGCCCTGCGCCAAGTGGTTATGTTAACCCTTAAGCATATACTGAGCATTTTTTGCATGGCCTAGTCGCCACTAGTGCTAAACGTAGAAACGGAACCGGCAGAAGACTAACAGCTGTATTAATATCTTATTATTTATATGACCCGCCCTTATGTGCCTTTTTAATCGTAGAACGGACCCTTAAAGTTAATAACTATAGCGACAGTGGCTCAAATATGAAGATAACAGTGGGTTCTATCGTTTGCGGCAGGAAAATTGCTATTATTTTTCAGGTAAGTGAAAAATCTAACCAAACGTTTTTAATCGATATAATGTGTGTCCGTTGACGACTTTCGTTATGCACATTCATTTTTATCGACGATGAGTTTTCATGTTTGGGTGAGTCTTCAAATATGACCCATACGGCCGTCTGCGTTAGAAAACATGCCCGAACACTCACTACTTCGGTAAATGCTTTCAAGAATTATCCTATTTTCAAGGTTTTGATAACCACTTAGCACAGTATCTATCTCTATGGGCAATCGACTACGAACATTGGAAATCGTGAAATATGTAATGTATTCCCGGATGCTATTTTTTTCACCGACGACAGTTTGATCGGGGTCTGAAGGTTAACCTAAAAGTTAAACGTATCCGTTCCATCGCCACCTGAGAGCCCTGCGCTGCAAACATAGACCGTCCATTGCCCATCAACAATCTCATAAATCGGACTACTGACCAATGGATAACATCGATTTCTACTCTTGTTTAAGTAGACGCGTGGGGGTCAAACGCATCTACGGGTATATTCCAAGGTCCGGAAAGTAACATATCCAGACCTTGTTGTATTAAAGTTGCCTCTGTTACCTCTGTACGCCCCTAACCTCACCTGCCGGTGCAAGCACCAGAGAACCTTTAGTTCTTATGCCTTGAATTGACACATTCGGTTAGCAACAATGTCCGCCCTCCGTTCTTGCATAAGAGCTGTTGAAAGTGGTCATTCAAAGGATTTTGCTACATCCACACTGCCCCTTCTCTGGTTGACTTTTTTAATGTAAGTACAAAACCGCTGTAGTAAAGGATACTGGTGACACTAATCTTCTGCGTTTGCAAGTGAACCACCGAATGGACAACCGCATACCCTGAATGAACCACGCCATGGTAACACCAAGGTCTCAGAGCCGAAGCTTAGTGGCAAACAGTGGGATGCTGTTTAAGAACATTACAGTTCCGTACTCCCACCGACATCTTGACAACTTCAGATTTATAATGGAGTCAAAATAAGCTTCTCAAATGAAATGATCGATAGGCCAGAAGAAGTCATGCAGCTCTTGTGTACATTCATAATCACTGGTGCCGATTATATTCAGATCTGGCGGTTAGATAAGGAGGTTAGGAAGTGAGAATCGGGGCAGTTGTGCTGCACGGATAGCAAAGCCGACCCCAATGACCAAAGCATTCACCCCAAGCCGTGAATGCTCAGAAAACATTACACTCGTGAGGAAACGTAAATGCTTCTGAAGTGGAAAAAATCGACATATCTGTTGCAAAACCTTATATTGTCCACTCAGTCTGGTATCGCACGAGATATCCGTTGGTCGATACCTTTAGCTTCAATAGGAGCTACAAACGAGGTGGAAAAACAGTAAGGAAACACCTCCAACTGTGTTCCGAGCGAAGTGTGACCACATCGCGTGGTTGCTAGAGATAATTGGGGGTTCTCGAGACATCGACTAAAGCACAACTAAACATGGCACATTAACACACCTAGTGGTATTGTCAAGTCATTTCATGATTACCGAAGGAAATTCTACCGTTTATTATTATTCTTATTATGAGGAAGAAGAAGAAGAAGAAGAAGAAGAAGAAGAAGAAGAAGAAGAAGAAGCTGGGGGGACACAGGTGGTCTGTGTGGCCCTAGTCTTCGGATCCTTGTATACAGGAGTGAGCGTGTCAAAATGTGGGGAACTTTCAGATGTGAGAGCATATGTGCACGCCCTGGATATTCCAGTTTTCTTGCAGTATAGTCAGCGAGGAAATCCGAATTGGAGTCGTTGTTAGCTCTCATCGAATGGTTCTCATAAAATCAGTCATTCTGCAAGTCGTTTTTGGAAATGTGCTTTACAGACACGCAGATGGCCCTTTCCAGCAGGTATTATGTGCCGGTGTTGTATTATCGAGAGTGCAGGACATCTCGCACGCAGCAATTGACTTCAGCCAAAATTCCACTACGAGGAACGCGTGCATGAGCCATAAATCGGTCGTAAAGGCGATATGGACAGGTGTTTGCTGTCCCCGATCCAGACAGTTCACAGTAGGCTTGTGTGGCTGCATTCCATGTCCGGAGGGAAAAGAATGTAAACAGTCTGTAGTTAATCTAAGCAACTTTGCGAACAGACTTCCTCACCCCCTCCCCTTTAGTCCCCGTCAGGGAACAAAGTGGGCCTTCTGGTCCTTTCGTCTAACAGTGAAAAAAATAAAACTAACCCACCTCTCTGGAAAGTTGGCTATCACCCAAACATCACATAAAAGTAAACGATGCCGAGTCTGGGTCCACCGGAGCCCTTTTGTGCGGCTTTGGTAAGATGTGGTTATGTAGCCCCACCTGATGGGAACAATACTGTTGGGGTTGAGGTTAAGGGGTTAGAACTAGGGGTTAGGGTTAAGGATTATGGTTCGGTTTAGGGGTTAGGGCAACTACTTCTCAACCACTCAAAGTACAACCGCGCATTTCCAATAGCTTTTCTTTTTCATACAACTACTTGACCTCGGCGCCCGTGCGTTCCCCGCCTCCACCTGTAAAAACCCCTATTACCACCGGTCCCGTAGTACAGGTGGCTGGGGTTTGTTTACTTCAGGTGGGGTTGCATAACCAGATCCGACCACGGCTTTTGGAAAAGCCACAAAAGGACCAGCACTGTCTGGAACATTAGCATCTATCTTAGACAGTGAAAGTCAAAAAGCTCTCTATCGACAACGTCTGAGTTAAAAGGTGGAATAAAATTGACTTCCCCGCATCAGGACCTTACGTCAGATCTTAGGTATTTCGGACTGACTTACAAGCCCCAAACCTCACGGAGCCCATCTTCACAGGCGGCTATATGACTTTGTCCAGTGGAATCCGCAACCGAACAGGGTTTCGATTGGGAGAGCGGACAGATACAGTAATACCCCGAAGTTCGTTGGAGTTACGTTCCTGGTCCCCAGTGAATTCTGGACGAACAACTAAAAAGGGCTTATAAATACCTATCTTCATAGCGTAAACACTAGATACGTCATCAAAACACCTCAACTTACAGATCACGAAAAAATCTACGGATTACATCTGCGGATTTCAAGGAAACAATACGCGAATTCATGAAGCCGCAGATTCAGAAGCCCGAATTTTTTTCGGGGTATTCCTACACTTTCACATTGTTGATACATATGCGCACAATATTAAGATGCAGACTGTGCGTGTGTCTCATCCAGTTCGGTTTTATTTTGAAATTTGTTATACAGCCAGATAACACGCTGAGCCTGGATCGGCACCCGTCCTCACCCCCACCTCCTATAAATGTTGGTGGGTTATACATCCTACCGTTTGTTCAGTTTCTATTATAGATTTGAAGCGAATGTCAAAAGTACTCGAAGCACCGACAGGGACGATTAATCGAATCCAGACTCCAAAAATGGAGCTGGAAAAAGGATCTCGATAACGTCTGGAAGAAAATGGTCGTGTCGATTGTGAAAGACTTATTTACCGAGAACTTCGAATCCATTGCAAGTTGGGGCGACTCATGCTGACTTTACGCGGTTTTAAAAACGGGCATGCGTATTGTCTAAGTGCCTTCGAAGACAACAGCAAGTAAGTGACGACAGAAATTTACTATTTACTTAAGATGTACTTAGGGAGTAGTTCCCCGCCTCCTTCCTTTCAATATCTATCGTCTGAATGTAGTGAAGCATCAAGGCTGTGCATTCCAAAATACTGAACTGCACATTGGGTTAGTGCTTTACTATTGCATCTTAAATTGATTGCGCCTTCATATGAAGCCATACACGTGAATCCAACTTCTCGAGGTTTCCTGGCCTCCGAGACCTTGTCTAAATGATATGGTTTTGTAAAGGCCGCCTTTACGACGTGTGAACTGACGCGAAGTTGGAGGCCGGCAGGACGTTCGGTGTGTAACGATCTCATACGGAGGTGGACGTCAGTTTTTGGTTGTGAAGATAATAACTCTGTCCACTAGATTGACTGTAAAAGGATGTGAGATTGCACCCACACATTTTCTCAACCGGGTTAATTCCAGAAATTAGTTCACGACAGTCAAATCCCCTTCTCTTGTGTGCTCATGAACAGCTACGCGCAGGACATTCACAAATAAACTGCTCACATAAGTCCCAGACATGAGATAAAGGTAGGACAGACTTATGTGTCCCTCCAAACAGGACATGGGAATGGGAACCGCCTGTAATACGGGTGGCCTTGAGCCAACTTCCAGAGGAAGAAGGGTTAGGTCTAAGGCTATAGTTAGCGTTAGGCTAAGGATCCGGTTTAATGCTGGATTTGAAATTAACAGTAAGGTAAGTTCGGATCAAGTTTTGGGTCAAGGTAGGGGCTAGTGTTAACTGCAGAGTCAAGGTTTAGGGTAGGGCTAGGGTTAAGATTAGGGCGACGGTTTAGTTTTATATTAGGGTTGTTGTTTGGGTCGGGACGCGGGAATATTTCGCCCCTTCCGGAATTATGCGCAGACTTACGATGGCTAATAAACCAGAAATTGTCATTCCAGTCTACTTTGTCTTTGTCGGTAATGTTACTCCACTTTTATTAATTGGGCGAGGCGTTTTTATTCACATATCCTGTTTAGGGGGTCATTTAAGTCAACCCTGCCCAGACAAATACTGGGTTCTCTGAATAACCGTCCGTTTTCTGGGAAAATCAGTTACATTTGTCAGTTCGACCGCCGCGAACGACGATGTACGTTGCGTGTCCCACAGCATTTACACACTACCTCAGTGTGTGGAATCCTGTCGACACAGTCACTGGCGATAAGGTCTGATAGTTCTGTCTAGACCACCTCTTAAGGGCAGTAGCTATTCCAACAATCTTGCTAACTGATTTATTCGAGAGATTTCTGAGTCAGTTGTCCAATTGCTGCAGCACCTGCGGGTCGTGTCGGCCCAGAAAGTGTGGCCAGAAAGTCATAAGCAGCCTCCATCTCATGCAAATGAAGGACCCTATGCCTACAGTAGGGGAACTGCGCCGGAGGGCATAAGGTCAATTTTTGACCCAGTAACTGCAACTTTGTCGATCAAATTTGACAAAGTCAGTTTTGTCCACGTCACTGGTGCTGAAACAGGACAAAACGGCCGGATCAGAACATGCAGGCTGCCATGCGCACAGGGGATAGAAGCACGCCTTCGATTTTGATAGTGTGGTGAACGGCTCACGTAAAGGACCTTCATCTGGACATGCAAACGGGAGTGGGGAAAGTCCAATGTCACCACTTTCAAAAGGGTTTAAGACAACTTGAAAGTCGCAGCTGCTGGTTCTAGAAGTAAAAAAACCAGATGACCTCACGGTTGCAAATATCCCAACCACAAGCAATGACTGGCCCACACAGTCAAACACAACCAAGTCTACTACATCAATCAGACAGGGGCCGCAATTTAACCATCAAAAGTCGGGCACAATTATGAAAATTTCACAACAAGCAGAACATGCAGTCGTAGCCAACCCATGGGGAACCGGATAATTCTGCACATCCCTCAGTCTTTGGGCATGTAAGTGTGAACCGACTGTTAAATGTCAGACGAGGAGTATATTTGTTCCAGGTATGTCTGCTGGCATCTCTAGAAAACGAAAGTTGCTAATCTTCTTCTCAGCAAAGTTAGCTAGGGCAGCCATATCGGAGTAACGCTGACTTATAGTTCCCTTAGTTTAAGCACACGCAGCGTTGTTGATCAACTACTTAACTACTACATGGGCCTACCTCAGGGTGTTTCCCAACGAAAAGCGGATGTTCCCCGTTTTGCTTCTTTTCGATAGCGTGGCTGAACTACCGTGTTCTCTTTGCACACAGATCTCTAACTCTGTCAGGAGGCTATTTCAGTTACCCCTTGGTCCTCCAAGTTCCGTTGTCTTGGCAAGTGGGGCTGCCTTAGGCAGCATGGTCTTGTCTATTAATATTTGTTTGTACTACACAAATCCCTAAAATGGGCAGCACAGAATTTCTACCAAACTTGTATCCACTCATCAGGACCAGGTTACAATTAACTCGTGGATTCATCTGTAAGACACGGGGATAGGAACCACACCATCATAATACAGGTGGCCTTGTACTAAATTCCAGGAATAGTAGGGTTAGGGTTACAGCTAGGGTAGAGTTTAGGTTTAGTGTAGTGGTTTGCTCTGGGTAATGAACACAGGCGCTTGGGGTGTTGGAAGTTAGATCACAATACCCGTCCTCCCGTCTTTCAAGTCTTTCCGCTCCCCAGAGCTTCCTTCTCTTGGCAACGCGTATAAATCCTCTCGTATTTCGCAGTTTAACAACACATGTAGCCTACTTTAAAAGAGTCTCAGCCAATGCTGATTTTCAATTGTATGCTTTGTCTTGGCGCACTCTTGTCAGTTTCGTTGTAGTTACTGGATGCGATATCACTGAACTGCATTTTTCCACGATTCTGAAGTAGATCCTATACACAATAATGCTCCCTTAAAGACTAGAAGTTAGCACCTCCAATGCATCTGAAAACAAACCATTCAAGAAGGATACGTAGTATATAAGTGTAAAACCATATTTATTTATTATGGTAACATGCACCTGCATACTTAAATCCCGTATGAGTCTCCATGCATTGGTCCTTATTGAACGGATCTGTTGTCTGTGACCACGTCTGTTACTAACATCCCAAAGGGTGGCCTCCACTGTTCGAATCCTGGTCTGTGATGGGGAGGATCGCCGATCTACAGACAAGGCGAACCATTTTGTGATTGCAGAACCTCGAGACTGTCCGGTGGTGATTACGATACACGCCCCTGCATATATAATTCCTTCATCATATGAATCACCCGTACCTTGCGCCCGCTCCTATCTCTCCTACTCCTTCTGCAGTTTGCGCTGATTCCTGCAAAACTTGATCCACACGCCTTTCGTCGGAGAGAGATGAGTTTAAGTCGCATCTCTAAAAGCTCTTGTCCATATCTGTTTCCCCTTTATCATCTCCTTATGTTCTTTCTGTTTAAGTATGTCTGGGCAGTTGGTTTCACATAAGAAATTAACCATACTCTCAGTACAGGTGCTAGCTAAAAGTCCTGACACGTGTTTGGCTGATTTTGCGCTGCTGTTTGGCACAACTGCGATGGGTCCGGCTCATCAGGGTGCTGGTGAACGCTCGCCGTTTAATCTCCAGTATGTACTCCAACCTTGCATATTCGACTTTACCTTTTTCAGCAATCAATATGCAAGTTTGCAGTAAAGGTCGCGGACCGTATTGCTGAGTACAACCTCTAATAACTCCGCCATGCATTAGCTAAAGTGGATAAAACATCCGTCTCGGCTTATTTCTCTCGGGAATTTCTGCGAGGACAGTTAGCCGCTCCCCTTCCCCCCGGAGCACTCCCTGTTCATCCAAGCCCGCAGGGTTGAGTGCGATTTAGCGGCCCCCTTACACCTGTTGAAGGCATCCGGGTGTCTAGTTGCTCAAATCGACACACGTGACGGGCATCGACGTCTGTTTCCCATCCCCGCCGTCACTAGTACCCCTCTCCCAGATTCTACACCCGAGGGACGAACCCCACCCCTACGGAAATCCCGTGCGAGGGGGTGTCTGGGGCCACCACGACCTCCGACCGACCTAACATCAACGTCAAAGAGTGATTCCCAACTCCCCTATAGATTGTGTTTTTGCCAACCACCCCGCTGATGAGCTGGCGTGGTGCTGCGGTGGGGTTGACGAGTTAATTTGACGAGGACCAGGATGGCCACGCCCCCCCCCATGCGCATGTCCTAAATGTGGGATGAGGGTATGTGGGTGGGTGATTGGGGTGAGGACAGGCCATGCCCGCCACCCATCTACCTGCGTTTCAACTAGCCAACGCTACAGGCCGAACCTGTTTGTCAGTGACTCCACGCCAGACTCAACGCGAGACCCACTAATTTGCAAATCGTAGTCATGTCGTCAATTTCGTTCTGCCCCCTCCGGTGGCTGTCGTCCGAACCTCAACAATTACTGCCTCCGTAGTCGCCGAGTTGGCTGAGGCTGATCCCGTCGCGTTGTTGGCAGTTTGAAAGAACGCCTTGGTCCAAAACAGTTTAGGGCAGACACACTTTGGTTTATAAACAGCAGCTGGATGCTGCACAAAGCAGACAACCGGAAGAGCAAAAACCAAGTACTACAGTCAGATGGGGAAGGCACTAAATCAGTCGGCCTTTAAACGTACAAGTATGTAAAGGAAAGTATTCTGATCATTAAACTCCCTTTCCCTTCTGGATGTGGAATGTGTTCTTCCGGTTCTAACTGCTACGTGCGATACAACAACATTTCAGGCTGAACGCATGTGAACTAATGGCCAATGAGGAGTAGGATAACTATTTCCAGCTTATTTCCCGTCGTAGGTCAGCTGTGCCCGCTGGTAATAAGTCTGAGATAACCATTCTGATATTTATTCTCATCGTGTGTGATTAACCGTGGCAATGCGACCGTCTAAAAAGGCCCTACGCAGGAGGTCAAAACCAGACCCCTTTCCACTGCATAACGAGTGGGACTGGTCGGTGAAGGGCATGACGAGTTGGCCGGACAATGACAGGCTGTAGCACAGGCCTGAGGCAACAAAAATAGCAGTATTGCTAATAAGATTAGGAGCAATAGTTGTCGTAACAGTAGCAGCAGTAGCAACAGCACGGAAGGAGTGCAGTGGATGAAAGCAGCCTTTACTGTAGTTGTTTGAGCTTTCGTCTCGTGCTGAGACCCGCCATCACACCGCGCGTCAATCGTGTACACCCTTGGCTGGGAACAGGGCCATGCTACAGCGAGTGCGCAGCGCAGGACGTGCGAAGTCAAAATCGATTTTGGTTTATGACATTGCTGTCGGTGATTCAGGTCTCCATCATCTCTCGCCCTCTCTTTTTACCGACCGCGCCGCTACCCTTGCACCCGCAGGGCTTGAGCCACAGAGTTTGTGACTGCGGGCTGTGGGCGGCAGCTTGGGGCATTGGGTCGCAAATTGGAAGCTCCTGTTTGCAGTCAGGTATTCGTGAGGTTAGTATTTATGCAATTCGACCTGTGATTGCGTGGGCGTTTGCAATGTGGAATCTGACAAACTTCACGGGATCGACCATCTGCGTCCACTTAATCCTTGGTCTGTATGAGTCTTTAAATCTACATTACCTCCTAACAGTGGGTGATACTCACGCCAAACTCTGCGGCACTGTGCTCTGTCGTACCGATTCATGTCTGAAGTACTGCAGGGCGTTCCAAAGCTTTTATAGCCATTCTATCTGACTTCCGTGGCTGCTCGCGGTAGCAGCGGTGAATGAAGTTCACCAGGTAGCCGTTCTGTGCGCACTGGTCTCCCATAAGTAGACTCACAGGGTGCCCAAACTCAGTGGGGGTCTTGTTTACGCCTTACTTCCCAAGATTTTACGGGAAAAACCAAGGTGACAACTTTTGTGTACCAGTCTAAATGACAATCCATCCTCAAACATAATACCAAAGGCATACGCCTTCTGAGCATACTTGTTGACTAAGTAATTTTCCTGTCTAAATGCGAACAATCTGTAAATGTCCATACCAATGCATTATCAGACTTCTGCTTCCAAAATTCTGCACAATCTTTACATCTTCATAAATTACGTGGACAATGATGCAGTATGCGACCCCACTCAGGGAACAAAAACCAGGTCATCGAAACATGTGGCATCGTTCTGTTTTTTATAATTGACGCTTCTGCGCACACGTGATTAGATGGAACAGTCAGTTTATTAAGGGAATTAGGTTTTCGCCTCTATTTGTATCGATAAACAGAAACAGAATCAATAATTACATCAGCAAACGCGGAAATACAAAAGTTAACGGTAAGTGTGAGTCAGGCGCAAACTGCTGCCGCCAAAACAATCGTGATTATATGTACAGTAGTTTCTCAGCAAATGAGCATCTAGTCTACACTTAAAGAATTCGACAGTTTCGGAAAGAACCACCGCATCAGGGAGTCTGCTCCATGCCCTAATGATCCTGTGAGAGAAGGCATTCCGTCAGACGTCCGAATGCGCCAGCTTCCTCTGCAGTTTCAAGGGATGACCAGGCAGACGGTCATT